CTGGTGTGCACAGGCATTGTGGTGCATGAAGGCATTGTGGCGTTCGTGGGCGCTGCGGTACACATGGCTGCTGTGGTGTACACATGCGCGGTAGTGTACACAAGCGCTCTGGTACACGCAGGCAAACGGGTGTACGCAGGGGCTGTTGGGCGCAAGGCTGCTGCAATGCACACAGAGACTGCGGTGTACATAGGCGACGTGGTGTTGCGGTGCACGCGGCGATTGTGGTGTACGGATGGTGTACGGATGCACTGCGGTGTACACAGGCGGCGGTGTGTTGCACGCAGGCGTTGGGCATTGTCGTGTACGCAGGGGCTGTGGTGCAGACGGGCGGTTGATGCGCCGTTGGCGCAGACGCACCCTGGCGTGTGCACGCCGCGGCCGCCGTTACAGTTACCCTCCCGCCCGACCCCTTCCCCCCTGGGTAACGACCGTTACCCCGGAGGAACAACAAATGCTCACAATGCCGAGGTCCTCTCCTCCTCATCCTCCTCCTCCTCGTCCTCCTCCTGTCAACCGCCTCTCCTCCTCCTCCTCCTCCTCCTCCTTCTCCTCCTCCTCCTCCTCCTCCTCCTCCTCCTCCTCCTCTTCCTCCTCCTCCTCTCGCGCGTGCTTCTGACGCTGGGGAGCCGTCGTGGCGGAAGCTAAGGGGAGAGTGCCCGAGGGTTTGCCGGAGGACAAAGCGCTGCGGAGCGCGCACACCCGACTCTCACGACGGCGAACATATCCGTACGGTAGGTTCGCGTCGTGTCGGCCGACAGCAACCCCGCCGCCGGCGCTCAACGTTGAAGGCCCCCGCCGACCCAGAATCGGTCGATGCTGGACGATCAGACGTTTCGGAGGCGGCCGATCGTTCAAGGTTGAAGGACCCCCGCGGTGTATCTCGGCGGCGAGCGAGGGAGGGAAGCGAGAAGAAGAAGGCCTTCGCAGAATGCTCGGGAGTCCTGCGGCCTTCGGAGAAGTCTTCTGAGCCCTCACCGAAGACACCTGAAACTTCTCAGAAGACGCGAGGGCTTCTGAGAAGCAGAAGGCGCGAGAGCGAACGTTATGTCCTAGATGAACGGCGTGAACAAAAACTTTCGGAGCTCCGCGCGGATTTCTTGGATCTGCGCTGGGCCCCCCCTGGCGGCGCCTCCAGCGCCGCCCCTGGCGCGCTCTGCGCGCCAGGGAGGCCCAGCGTGTATCCGAGAAATCCGCACGGGCCTTCAAAAGTTTATGTCTATGCAGTTTATTGCTCTTCCGATCTCCGTACCCGCGCCTTCGTAGTCTGGTTTCTGGGGCGCGATCCCGCCGATACGCGGTCGCACGGATGCGTTCCGCGCGGGGCATCCGCGAAAGGACGCGCCATATCCGCGGGGCCGCGGCCCAGAAGCCCGGCCCGCGAGGCCGCGGAGGATGCGGATCTGTCGAGGCCCCGTGGCCGCCGGGGTGCCGTGGCCGTGGCAGCGGAGGCGGGAGGCCAGGAAACGTCTACGGACGCTGCCGTCTCGTGAGATCCTGGCGTCGCAGCTTGGCCTCATTGGGCGATGTGTTTGCCTAGTTCCGCGGGCCCTGACCATTACAGATCGATCTGGCTCGACAGAAGCGGCAGAAAGATCGATTTCTCGCGACCTTGCCAGTTTTCGCAGCGTCAGACCTCGGGAGTCTCAGGATGAAGAGCTTGTTCTGGGGTTTCAGGGCTCGAGACCTCTGACGGCCCACGCCGTGAGCAGAATCACGACGCCAGATGTTGGGGTACAGGCAACGCTCAACACTGACAGCAAGGATGAGCAACTTTTCGAGGTTACAATCCTTGCATCCTGTCCCTTCGGCCCATCCTTGGCCACTTTCGCTGGCCGTGCCCCGCTCGAAAAATGCCGCCATGAGCGTCCAAGGGGCTCGCACCCCTATCGCGCATCCTTGCTACCAGTTTCGATTGTAATTGGCTGGAGATCTGCGCAGATCTCTTGGGTCGGCGCTGGACCCCGCTCCCCGCACCCATGGCGACGCCTGCGGCGCCGCCGCCAGGGCGCCGCTCGCCGCGGAAGGGTCCCCAGGGTCGGGCATGTTCTCCTACTGGCGGATTTTGGAACGAACAACTCAACGTAGCCAACAAGTATTCCAAAGTGGTGAGAGATGGTCGAAAAGCCGTCCCCATCCTGGCTCTGTACTACTTTTGGACATTCCTCCTGTAGAAGGGCATGCCCGACTGAACCCCAGGGGTGCCTGAACCCGAGCCTTGTGGAAGTGGAGTGATGGAGAGGAAGCATGTTGCCAAATCATTTCCAGATGTCTAAAACATGTTTTCAAACATGTTTTCAATGTGTACAAGAATGTTTGAAACATTTTTAGAACATGTCTTACACATGTTTAACACATGCTTAACTCAATGGTCGGATTGTTGGAGTGCCCATTGTCATGGCTTCCACAGCCCGAGCCCGCTCGGCCGCCGGGTGGGCGGCCGAGCGGGCGCCGGCTCGGGGCGGGGCCGCGGGAGTGGGCTCGAGTCCGGATCTTCCCCGCGGGGTGGCCGGATGGGCCTCGCCGCCGAGAGGGCTAGGGAGGAGGGCTCGAGGAGGAGGAGGAGGAGGCAAAGGTACCCATACTGCTACCCTTTGCTCGTTTTCCCCTTTTTGGGCCTCCTGGGAGGCCCTCGTTGCCACCGCTGGATGCGCCTCGAAATCCTGGTCAGAACGCTGCCTGGGAGAGGTCCAGGGAGTAGCGGTATCGGTACTTTTTGGTTTCCCCAAGGAGGAGGAGGAAGAGGAGGAGGAGGAGGAGGAGGAGGAGGAGCTCTGAGGGCCCAGGCTTCTGACGGGGTGATGTTTCCAAGGCGCCGCCCCAGAGGTCCCGATCCCGCTCTTGATGGCCTCGGGGGCCGGGAGCGGTGTCCAGAGAGAGAGGTCGAAATCTAGTGCAACTCGCCGGTTGGAAAAGTCATACCGTCGGAGATGTGGGGGCGTGGGCAGAGCGGCCCTGTGCACGCCCCAGCGGCCCGCGCAGACCTCTGGAAGCTTTCTTGCTCCCGTGCCGTTTTTCCTGCCTGCTGCAGCAGGCGCCGCTGAGGCCAGGCGAGCAGGCCTCCCGCATGCCCGACCGGGGCACGTTCCCCCCGAGGCCCACGCCCTTGCTCGACTCGCTGGGTGACGAGGGGACCTCAGGGGCAACGCCAGGGGGTGGACACGCTTGGCGTCGGAAGGATAGCGTGCGATGTGGTGCCGCCTGCCCGTTAATTGCACGCTATATCCCACATCTCGGGGACAGTGTGCACCGCATGGGCCCTGGCGGGGGATATCACGCGCAGAAGGGGCTCTCGCGGGGAGATCGCCTCACCGGGACAGCGTGCTTTCGGAGATCGATGTTCCGCGCTGCCTTTCCAACGCCGACCGTTGGCTCATGGGGATGCAGCGACCTCCAATCGCCCACCCCTCGCACATAGGAGCCTCAGCCGCCCATGACCCTGCGGATTCGCCATCGCGGTGCCCCATCGCCGATGTACATCCGCTGTGTATGGCCGATTCTAGGTCGATGTTTCCTCCCCTCGAGCTAGAACCTCCCCGCAGGACCTCGCGCATCCGCGGCATGAGCGTGGAGCAGCTCACCGAACTCGCGGAGGACTGGGGTAGGGAGCGCACATGCCGATGCCGCTGCTCGTCCCAGAGGGCCCTCGTCGCCACGGCTGGATTATCCTCGAGATTCTGGTCAGAACCCGTCCCGGAAGGGGTCTGGGTAGTGGCGGTATCGCTACTCTCGAAGAACAAAAACGGCATAAACATGAATTTTCGGTGGTCCGCGCGGATCGTCAAACGTTTATGTGAATGCCCTTGTTTGTTCCTCTATACTCCGGTGTTGCCAGAAGTGTCCCAGGCCCAAGGTGCCCCCCAGATTTCCAAGGCTCCCAGAGCACCCCGCACGTGGCCCAGAGGGCCCCAGAGTGGCGCGAAGAGCGGGCCACCTCTGGGAACGCCCGAGCTTTGTGTTTGCCCCCCTCCTCGCAGGAGGTGCGCTGGCAGGTGCTCGACGCGGTCTCGGTCACCGGCGGCCACCTCGGTGCCGGCCTCGGCGTGGTGGACCTGACGGTCGCGCTGCACCACGTCTTCGACACCCCCCGCGACGAGATCTGCTGGGACGTGGCTCACCAGTGCCAGCCGCACAAGGTGCTCACCGCGCGCCGCAGCAGGATATACACCCTCCGACAGGGCGGCGGGCTGTCCGGGTTCGCGAAGCGCAAGGATCGGAGGAGGAAACATCGCAGAAGCATCCATTCTCGGAGCTCCTCGCGGATTTGTTGGATCGGCCCCGGGCCACCCCTTTGATTGCCCTGGCGGCGCTTCCGGCGCCGCCCCTGGCGCGCTCGGCGCAGCAGGCGGAGCTTCAGAAGTTCATGTTTATGCAGTTGTTTCTTCTTCGAAGGGTCAGGGGCAACGTTAGTGGGGGGATAGGCTCTGGGGGAGAGACGTATCGATCCCTAATCGCCCGCTCATCGCCCATAGGGGCCCGATAACCTCACCCCGCCCAGGACCCTGCGGATTCGCTATCGGAGGCCTATCGCCGATCGAGATCGGCGACGCATCTCCGATTATACATGGATGTTCCCCCGAGTTCGTTCCCCCTCTGAAGGAGTCTGAGTACGACGCGTTCGGCGCCGGCCACTCCTCGACTTCGATCAGTGCCGCCGTGGGCTTCCAGACCGCGAGGGACGTCCAGGGCAAGCAGGGGCACAGTGTCGCTGTCATCGGCGACGGCGCTATCACCGGCGGCATGGCGTGGGAGGCCATGAACCACGCCGGCGGCATGGGCTCCAAAGTCGTCGTCGTTCTCAACGATAACGGCCAGGTTCGGAAGATAAAACGCTGCACACATTCTCGTTCGTCGCGATGCGCGGACTTCTTGGATCTGAGCTAACCCCCCCGGCAGCGCCTCCGGCGCCGCCCCTGGCGCGCTCCGTGCGCCAGGGAGGGGGCCCAGGCGCAGATCCACGACATCCTCGCGGACTTCCGAAAGTGTATGTATATGCCGTTGTTTGCTCTGCAGGTGTCATTGCCCACGTTCTACAACAAGGTCAAGGACCCTGTGGGCGCGCTGTCGCAGACGCTGGGCAACACCCGCGAGCAGGCGAGCCAGAGGGGCCTCAACATCCAGAACGATCTCGCGAAGATCGAGACCTCGGAGACCTTCCAGAATGCCAGGAACCTCGCCAAGGCGGCGTCGAGGTCGCTCCTGCCAGAGCAGCTGCAGACCGCGGCCGCCAAGGTTGACGAGTACGCCCGTGACTTCGTCAAGACGGTGCCCTTCAAGGGCAGCGGCGCTGGCAGCAAGGGCGAGCTGTTTGAGCAGCTTGGCTTTTACTACGTCGGCCCAATTGATGGTCACAACATGGAGACCCTGACCCAGGTGCTGGGGAACATCAAGGAGCAGCACCGGGACGGCACCATCAACAAGCCCGTCCTCTTGCACATCAAGACGCAGAAGGGCAAGGGCTACGAGCCTGCGCAGCGCGCGACCGACAAGCTCCACGCGGTTAAGCCAAAGTTCAATCTTCCAAAGGTCGCTGCCCCGTCGGACAAGATTAAGGTGGCCAAGGACCCCCTGACCAAGGTGTCCAGCTGCACGTAACACAAAGCGAACTACAACATTGCATGCATATGCTTTCTCAAAGGTCTACGCGGATTTCTTGGATCAGCGCTGGGTCCCCCTTGTCAGCGCCTCCGGCGCCGCCCCTGGCGCGCTCCGCGCGCCAGGGAGGGGGGGTCCAGCGCCGATGCAAGAAGCCCGAGCGGACCTCCGGGAACCGATGTTTTATGAGATTGCTTGTTCCTCTGGGAGCAATGGCCCGTTGCCGGGGTGAACTTTGGTGCGCGGCTCTTGGGAAGCGCGGGGGGCATAGCCCAAGCTACGCGCGCCGCGTCTGTCGCCTCGAGGGCAGCGAGCGGCAGCCGCCGCGCACCAGAGGCCAGACTCTTTGCCCAGGGCCGCTCCTTTGCCGTGCAGCCGAGGTGTTCGCGGACGCGCTCGTGCGGGAGGCCGAGGCCGACGACAAGATCGTGGCCATCACGGCCGCGATGCCCGGCGGCACCGGCATTGGTATCTTCGAGGAGCGCTTCGGGCCCGGGCGCACCTTCGACGTGGGCATCGCGGAGCAGCACGCCGCCACCTTCGCCGCGGGCCTGGCCGCCGGAGGGCTGAAGCCGTTCTGCTCCATCTACTCCACCTTCATGCAGCGCGCCTACGACCAGGTGTGCGGGCACAGAGCAGAACCACCACCCATAGTTCTGTTGCACGCTTGTTGGCAGGCGCACCCTCGGGGGATAAATCCCCCCCTGACCTCGACATGGACACTTTGGTATACTGGTTCTGGTCGATCTGGCCGTCCTGGAACCCCCGGATCGGACGCAGGAAGACGGGGTCGATTGCGCGGACATGCGCGCGCAACCTTCCCGCGTAAGGTCGCGCGCAAGCGCCACGCTCTCCACTGGGTGTGCCCAGCTGGCGGCCTGCGGAGGCCGCGGCAGAAGGTCGCTGTGTCTTCTCGCGCAAGGTCAAGTCGGGCCTGTCCCTCTACAAGGGGAATATTCAAAAATAGTCAAAAGATAGTCTGGGGACTATTTTCTGAATATTTTGGGGCATCTTTCGAATATTTGTTGAATCTTTTTTATTTTTCGTCCAAAATCCCCCTGCAGGGGGACAGGCCCGACATAAGCGTAAGGCCCGTTTCGTTTCGTCCCTCAGGTGGCCCACGACATCTGCCTGCAGAAACTGCCGGTGCGAATGATCCTCGACAGGGCCGGCCTCGTCGGCGCGGACGGCGCGACGCACGCGGGGTCCTTCGACCTGACGTACCTGTCCTGCCTCCCGGACATCGCCATCGCAGCCTCGGCGGACGAAGCGGAGCTGGTGAGCATGGTGCACACGTTGGCCCAGATAGACGATATGCCCACCGCGCTGAGGTTCCCTCGCGGAGAGGCCTACGGGGACGTCGAGATGCCAGCGGCACCGCTCTTCCTGGAGCCAGGCAAGGGCCGCATCGTCCGCGAGGGCCGCGACGGGTCCCTGGCCATCCTGTCGTGTGGGAGCCGGCTGCGGGAGTGCTTGAAGGCCGCCGAGGAGCTGGAGAAGATCGGCGTGTCGGCCACCGTTGCGGACGCCCGGTGGGCCAAGCCCGTCGACAAGAAGCTGATCACGCTGCTGGCCGCCGAGCACAAGTGCCTGCTCACCATCGAGGAGAACTCCATCGGGGGCTTCGCCGCCCAGGTTCGGGGGTCCCCAAGGGGGTCCCCGGCCCCTGGCGTCCCCAGCTCCTCGCTTCGCACGTGGAGCCCATGGGGCCCTCGGGTCCTCGTGCGGGGTGCCTCTGGAGGCCATCGGCACCTGGCCGGGAAAGCTGGGGCCACCGTGGGCCGGGGCCATTCTCCAGCAGCACGCGACAGGTCCAGGACGTCCTCCTGAACGGTGGCCACCTCGACGGCCAGGGCATGCCTCCGGTCGTCTTCCGCAGCATGATGTTCCCAGACCGCTGGATCGATCACGACGTCCCGTACCTGCAGTACGAGGACGCCAAACTCAACGCCAGCCACATCGTCGACAAGATCCAAAGCATGCTCTCGCGCGCGGGCGTCAGGACGCAGGCGGCCGAGGCCATGCTGCCCCTCGGGCCGCAGAAGCGCGGGTAGCCTGCGGTCGCTCTGGCACCCTCCTCATCCAGCCCCCTGGTCCTCCCTTATTTTGTGGATATTGAGCGTCCCTGGGTCCAAGGGTACCTCCGATCTGGGGCCTTCTTGGGTCCCAACAAGTCACGCGAGACGGCGCGCTAGAGCCCTGGGGATCCGCGGGAAACCCGGCCTAATTCGCGAATTTGTGGTCCAGCGGCCTCGCCCCGCCGGAAACCCCGGCGGCCAGCGGCCGCCACAGTCGAGGCCTGCCAAGGTTGTGGCTGCGCCGGGGTGTGGTCTGGGATCGGCGCCGCCAGAGTCCAGTGGGACGTTCGAGCCCCCCCCCCCCCAAGTGCTGTGCACCGCTGTCACAAGCGCACCCGAGGAGCTTGGTCAAGCCTTCAGTCTGCAGTTTCGGGAGTCTTGGCTCGTGCCCCCGGAGAGTGTGCCGTGCCTCCTCGTCATCACGGCGCCCCCGCCGCCCACCGTCCCCTTGCTGCCGCCATGGGGAACGGGGATGGACAGACCTCCCACGTCGATTGGTGAATTGTCCGTTTTCGGTTCTCGAGAGGGCGCCGCGGCCATCGTTTTCCAGGCGTGCGCCCGCCAGGTTTGGGCCCGAGGTCGCTTTCACTAAACCGCGTTTTACCAAAGGGGGTTGTGTCCATCCCCGAGTATGGATTCCCAGGAAACGCACGGTCGTGTGCACCTTGTTGTATACACTTCTTCCAAAGGGGCCGTGCCCGTCTGGACTCGCAATGTAGCGTGCACTGGCGTGAAAGCACGAGCCCCTGAATCAATGGTGAGGAAGTCTCACGCGAAGCGGCTGCCGCGCCGGGCGTCCTCAGGGCATCCCGTCCCCCTTGTGGGACTCTCCTGTGTTTTTTCTGCCGGCCGCCGTCCGTACCCTCAGAGCCCCGTTCCTCCACTGGAGGAACGGGGCCCTGAGGGGAACAGGCCCTGGAAATCTGGGGCTGTTCCCGGGCCGCCGGCCTTCCCCGGGCCCCGTGTCCTTCCGGGGACGCTCCAGGACGAGACGCTGGCCCCCGCGGGTCCAGGACCCTCGGCAGGGCTCTTCTCGATCCCTCCGATCAGATTCGACTTCGACGGATTCCGATGCCGATTCGATTCGGTTTCGGATTCCGCTGTGGGTTCGATTTCGCAATGGAGGCCGTGCTTGCCAGCCGATGGCAGCCGATTCAATCTCTCCCGACTTGGCTGCCGATTTCCGCCGATCCGGAGCATCTCGATCGCCGATCCGACATATCGATTCACTTCTGGGCTCTCTTCATCCCCCGCAGGAGACAGCTGTTTTACCTTCTGGCGATCTATGGCGTGACCATGGGGGTCCGGAGGGGACAGGGGGCCAGTCCCGTCACGATTCGTGCCGGCGCCGCTTCTGGGAGTGCTTGGGAGCGGCCCACTTCACACGGCGCCGGCGCGAGTCGTGACGTGACTGGGGGGGGGGGAACGAGGCCAGTCACGCGCGTTATCGCGAGCGGCTAGCGATATCGAAAAGGGTGCCTTTTTGGCCAGAATAATAATTCAGCGGCGCCGGCATTCGCGCGCAAGCTGCCCGCGCCAGGTCGTGCGTCAGCGCCACCTTTTCGATGTAGTGTGCTATGTCAACGGCTGGCGTGAGCCATTGCGTGCGGCCACCATGTCCTCAGCGTGAGACCCCCTTCTCTCAGTCGCTCACTTGACTTTGTGCAAATCGCAAATGGAGCGATTGCAGGATCAGGGGGAATCGCCCCGCCTGCCCCGCTTCGAGCCAGCCATGGGGTTGGCATTGCGAATTTCTGGCGACGTGCGAGACCGGGCGCTGTCGCTGCTGCTTGTTTCTTCTCCTCCACCGACCCCCGTCGTTGTGAAAGACCTCGACGTCGCGAAATCATTATAGTTCGAGCTATCAACCTCGTCCAAGCTTTCGAGCCAGATCCATCAGTGAGCGGAGCGGTCCCTGGCCCGACATGGGTCCCAAAACAAGGCCCAAAACGCCCGTTCTAGTTTCTGTCGCGGCCAAGAACCCACCCTCCTCCTCCAACGGCCAAAGGCGTTTCCTTATCTTCCTCCTCCCGCTGGCGCCTAAGTATTATCCCCGAGAACCTTCCTTGCATAAGCGCTTCAAAACGGCATGAAAACCTTTGCCCCTCCCGAAAAGAGTCGGCAAGTCATCAGACATCGCATTAACTATTCGACCTTTGACGAAATACATCGTTCGAACTCTCCTCAAAACCTCCACGAACATTCGAAGCACACCGAGAAGTTTCCGTCCACTGCCTCCTCCACTCATCTGTTCTTCATTCCGGAGACACATGGAGGGCCCCTCACGCCACATGAGTCTTGACCTTCGACCGTCGATTCTCTCTTCCTTCTCCTGGAGCCTCATGATTTAGAAGTGGCTGCATTGGCAGTGTGGATCCTCCTCAATTAGCTTCTCCATGTGTTGTTCGTCCTTGATCACCATCCTCATCGATCCCTCTGATATCATCGGCCCTACTCCTGGATCCACCTCCTCCTCTTCCTCGATCATCTTCCTGCATCCTTCTCAGGAGCGTCCATCGTGATCCGCCTGATCGTGGTGGAAATATGTGTGCCTCACGGGTAGGACGGTATCTAGTCCCCCCCCCTGGACGCGGCACATGTTAAACAAATCATCCCCATAGAGGTCCCTCCTCCCAAGTTCGCCCCTGACATCGGCGTCGCGAAAAATGTGCCACCGTGTTGAAAATCGCAGGCGGATCCCTCGACGCATCCTTTCCGCGACACCTCTCAAGCTGGATCGACCTGTGATGGTTCCAGGCTCGAAAACAGGGCAGAAGCGCCCGGTGCGAACGAAAATGCGATGCCCAGATCTCAGGCTCCTCCTCCTCCTCCTCGAGTCTCCCCTCCCGCTCTTGCTCCTGCTGACCCTGGAAGCCTGCCGCCCGCATTGTTCAGCCCTGCCCGACGGAGCGCTTCCGCCGCGGGCGCCCTCGGATCCCCCGGGCAGCCCTGTGGCCCCCGGGGGCATCCTCTCGGGTCGGACGCATGGGGGGGGGGCTTGGGAAGGGGGCGGCTGCAGTCCAGGACGCTGAAAGGAAGACAGGTGTCAGTTCTGAGCGGGCTCTTTGCTCCCTGGATCATCCCATGGTTTTTCCTTTGGCCCGACCGCCCCGCGTGCTCCCCGCGGCGCCGCCGCGTGAGAGTGCCCCCCGCGGCCCCCCCCCTTCCTCCGCGGCCGCCCTCTCCTCCCCATCTTCCTTGTTGCATGCTGGCCAATTACACACTCTTCGAAAGTTCTTTGATTTTTTGGGGGGGCCAAGAAAATAGTCAAAAGATAGTATCGGGACGATTTTTTGATTTTTGTGTCAGCATTCGGGGGTCTTTGGGGATTTCATTTTTCGTCCAAAATCGGCCTGTAGGGGGACAGGCCCGGCCTAATGGTAGACTGACTGCGCGAGATCTGCTGCACGCGGCCGGCTTCCGCACCGCCGCGCGGGGCAGCTCCCTTACCAGCGGCGCCTCTGGCGCGGGGAGGCGCCTAGAGAACCAGCGGTCCGGATGCGGGGACGTGTTTTGTTGATCTCGGAGCGCCGGCGGGTAGATAAAAAGTGTCCAAACCCATCGCGCCAAGGTGATACGACATCGAACTGCGTCGGACAAATTTCCACAGCCCCCGCCCCCCCAACCCAAAGTTGACGGGGTTGGATGCGAGGCAACGCGCGGGGGACAAGAGATGGACACTTCAATTTTGGGAGGGGGGCGAGCAACATGTATATTGCAATTGTCGTTGCCATCATGCCTGATTGTCTTCACGCCGTCGACGTGGATACTTCTTGTCCGGGCACTGGCGACACGCCCGCAAAATTGCCGCCGTGGGTCGAGGCCTCCTCCGCTCTTCGCTTCCTGCAGCTGGGCCCGGCAAAGCCCTGGTTCGCGTTTGCAGCGTCCTGGTGTACGGGGCCCTGAGAGAGCCAGCTGCACGAGCTACTGAGTCGCCCCCCCCCCCGACCCCTTGCGGAGGAGGAGGAGGAAGAGGAAGAAGAGGAGGAGGAGGAGGAGGGGGGGAGGAGGAGGAGGGGGATCGAGGAGGAGGAGGAGGAGGAGAAGGAGGAGGAGGAGGAGGAGGAAGAGGAGAAGAGGAGGAGGAGGAGGAGCGAAACCGGTATTTTTGGGGCGCAGCAGCGCTTGATTGACCAAAGCCGTTCGACAGCTCGACTTGGGCGGCACGTTGTTGTTGTGGTATTGACACTGCGTATCGGCTACGCGCCCAGGCCCCCGACGTCAGGATCGCTTCACAACGCGGACCCCCAGATGCCTCGACGCATTCACCGGGATCTTGTTGCCACCCAAGTCCTGACTCGTTCTTGGACGGTCCCGGGGCCCAGCGATGGCCCCCAGAGGCAGAAGTAGCAACACAAGACGTCCGTCTTGGTTTTTCGTTTTTCCGACGCGAGGAGGTCAGGGCCACACACGATGTTGATTTGCCCCCCCCCCACCTTTGCTAGACAGCCCCCACCCTCGTCCGGCCCCCGATCCTCCAGCGTCTTCGCCCCGCGCGCGCGGTGCCTCTCCGGCGGCACGCGCCGGGCCCCCGACCGGCGTCGATGCACGCCGAGTCGGGCCGATGTGTCTCTGCCAGCGCACCGTCCGCCTACAGGCCCCGGGCGGGGACTCGGCTGCTCGTCAGAGGAGGAAAAGGATCGATATATAGACGTAAGAGTGACCTTTCGCCAGAGTGACCCTTGAAGCGGGCACAGATGGGCCCTCAGATGGCTGAAGACGAAGCGGTAGCAGCGGCTTGCGCGCCCAGGTTTGGTCTCTCCCCGCGGCGCCCAAAAAGCCGCGCACCAAAGGTCACTCTTACCCAGGGTCATTCTTGCGTGTAGCCGAAAGGACAGCGATACCGCTGCCCTTAAGTCGGGCATGTGCCTCTGCAGGAGGAATGTTCCAGAACAGTAAGAACTAGCGTGTTTCGAGTGCTCGTGCCCTCCCGACTATGTTTGCTACTTGTTGTTGATTTTTTGATTGTGTCTTCCAAAGTCCGCCTGTAGGAGGACGGGCCCGATCCAACGCTACCCGGTCCTCGTCGCCACGGCTGGATTCGCCTCGAGATGCTGGCCAGAAGCTGGCTGCAACAGGTGGCGTGGCGCCCATTGCCGCCTGCTCCTCCTTCCGCCTCCGCCTCCGCCTCGCCCCTCTTCCCTTATTCCTTCCTCCTCCCTTATCCTGACTCCTGACTCCCTCTTCTCCTGCTCCTGTTCCTCCCTCTTCCTTCCACCTCAGCCTTAGCCTCCTCCCCCCCACCTCCTCCTCTCTCCAGTCTGCTATTCTTCCTCCTCCTCGTCCCTCCGTTGCCGCCTCGGAGGGGGCGCGAATCACCTCTGCCTCCACTCTCCTCCTTCTCCAGCTCGTCCTCCTCTTCCTCCTTCTTCTTCCTCGGATTCAGACTACGATCCACCTCGGGTGTTCCGTGCCCCATTTCACCTCTCCTAGCCTCTCAGCATGATCTCCTGGAACGTCAGCTCGACGTTTGGTTCTCAAGTCTCGTCTCAAGAAATCTACCGCCGCAACATTGCCCGTCTTTGGTACCTGATGCAACATTATTTGGTTATCTGCCTTCAAGAGATGAGTGGATCAACATCTCTGCTTGACGCTTTCTTGTCCGAGATCGCTGATGCCTGGGGCATCGGCTCCTTCTGCACTTATCCTCACCAAGGTGGTTGCGTCATTTTGGTAGACCTTTTCTTTGGGAAAATGGGCTCCCGCATCACCACCACGTGCCTGTAGTGCGGGAGCGAATGCATATGCTCACACTTCTCAGCGACACGTCCTGTTCACACCCTGTCACTATCCACAGCGATCCTGGGCTTCCAATCCACCAGCGTGCCCATGAGAGTTGGGGTGACCAGGGAAGTATCTGAGCAAGATAAGGGGGCAGCCGTTATCTGTCGGATGAGGAGGTGGGTGGAGGAGTAAATGTAAGACGAGGGGGACATCGAAGGATGATACATAGGAAAATGAGAAGCAGTAGCAGGAGGGGCGAGCAGAAGGCCAGAGACCTCTTGGATGCACGGGGGCTTCGGGGGCTTCCTTGGAGGCCTCTTGGGCCGTCTTGGATGCCTCTTGCCGGTCTCGGGGGCCCCTTGGGCCCCTTTGCGGCGTCTTGGGTGCCGTTGAAGGGAGCCTCTTGAGGCTTACTGGGCTCTTTGGGCCGTTTAGGCACCTCTTGGGGGCCTCTTGGGGGCTTCTTGGGGCTCTTTCACACTCCCTGGAGGCCCTCTCGAGGCTATCTGATAGGACATCGATCAAAGAAGAGGGAGGTCCTTACTTAGCGGCGCCCCTTCTAGAGCCTCTAAAATCGCCCTTAGGGCCTTCTTGGAGCGCTCTTGGAACGCTCTTAAGCGCTCTTGGGGCAGTCCTGGGGCCCTTTGGGGCCTCTGTTGGTGCTCGCGGGCCATCTTGGAGCCATTTTGAGGCTTCGGAAGGCCAGCCGAAGCGAAAAGGCGAGAACGCACAAACCATGAATTTCCATTCTGGGTTTTGGAAGGACTTTGACCTCTTGTGGGCTCCCTTGGGGGTGCTCCGAGGCCACTTGGAGCCGCCTTGAGGCGGTCTTGGAGCCTCTAGGAGCATCTTGGAAGCCATCTTGAGCAATATTGATCAGGAGGGAAAAAACACAGACACAATGAATCGTCGACTCCCAGGAAATACAGGAAAATACAGGAAGTGGGGGGGAGGACGAAAATCCAGAAAATATGAAAAAAAAAAAAAAAAAAAAAAAAATGGGGAATCCTGTTATTCGTGTCTATTTATTTGTGTGTCCCAGGGCCCCTTCAATTGAAACATCTTGAGCTGTCTTGGAGGCCATCTTGGGCTCTCTGTGGCCCTCTTTGAGCCATCATGTGCAATTCTGGACGCTCCAAACGGCCGCGGGGCGCCCCGTCCAGGTCCGGGGGGGTAGCGGGAGGGGTAGCCCCCTCCCTGAAGGGGAAGAAGGGAACATAGACGAGAACACGTCCTAAACCACTCACGCCCAGAGGGCTGGTGGGATGTCGGGCATGCGGGCTCCCGCCCATTTTTATGGGAGACTTCAATTCTGTGGAGCTGATTGAAGGACGCCTTCACATGGCCGGAGCGCTTACGCTCCCCTCCAACACGTTGTGCTCCTCCTTCCAGTCATAGCTCCTCGCGCTCGCGGAGGTGGAGCAGGTGCAGAGCACTCCCAGGGCCACGCGCGACGCACGCCGCGGGAAGACGGCGGTGCCCGGCTTCTGTGGGAGACCCCACACGTCGGCTTGATCGCCCAGACACCTCCCTGTCCACGGTCGAGCTGCTCAACCTTTGCCCGCGATCTTGCGGTACTGGATCGCCCGCTGATCTCAGCAAGCCTCTTGACCATGTCCCCGGTTTCCTGGGCCTCCGGCGGAGCTCTCGACCCAGGCGGCCCATCCTCCGCAGGTGGATCACGTCGGGTCCTCACTTTGCCACGCACGTCCAAGAGCTCATGGACGGCGCTGGGCCCTTTAGCGCAGACCCTTTCAGCGCCATTGATGACAGCCGCGATTGTCTCCGCGCGGCCGCCAGGAATCTGAAGGCAGACACAGAGCGGACTGGTGCCCGTTCTGTTGGGGAAGAGGTCTCATGGTGCTTGGTTGCCCCCCGCGCCTCGCACACGGTCCGATCCCGAGGCTTTCCGCCACCACCTGAACCAGCTCAAGATCACCGAATTAGATGACTGCATCATCACCCTCGGAGCCGATGAGCAACTACTTGACCACATCAAGCAATCCAAGGATAACCATCTGGAAGGTAACACAGTGACCCGCACTCCCTGTCAGACACGGTCCCTCACCCTGTCGAACACCGCGCAAAAACATAAAATGGTGGCCACATGTAAGCCGCTGGTTGCGGTCTGCGAGCAGGCTTGAGTTAGCAACCAACGAGGATTGATTAGGAACCTTTCATTGTTCAACAACATGTATGACATCGAGGCTAAGGCCATCCATTGCATCTGCCAGTGCAACTACAAGCGCACTGGCATTCTCCTCTACGACCTTCAGACGGCTTTCCCCAGCCTCCTCCACCACGCGTTCTTGTGGGTCCTCTCGGAGACTCAGGCGCCCTCATTCGCGATTGGTGCCCCCAGGATCCTTTACAACGAAGCATGGGTTGAGGTCTGTTTCTACGGGTGCGAAGGCGGCTGGTTCCTTTGTGCTCGGGCGTTAAGCAAGGATGCTCTGGCTCTGGTCGCCTCTTTGCATTGGCCCTCGATCCGATGAGTCGGTTTTAATTTCGCGTGTTTACCTTTCTGCCTTGAACATTTTGGGCTGCTTCGCCGGCAATGTTGCCAACGCCACAGGCGACCTCCCTGAGTCGTTCGCTATCTCGTTTCGGTTTTTGGCAGCTTGCTGAGCGCTCTCACGGAACAGCCCTTTACACAACTATTATGGTTATATTCGACGACGGTTGCTCCGAAGAGCAGTTCTGGGCTCATCTGGCCATTTGGGGGTTCGCGAAGTTTGCAGGCCAAGTGGGATCGTCTGAGCGTTTCCAGGGTGGTATTGGACCCCAGGGTGCTGAGGCAACGTGAAAGGCTCCCACCACCAAGTTTGTCATGCGGGCTCGCTTGACGAGGTCTCTGGACCTCTGCACGGCCAAGACCAGAGCCCAGTATAACGAGATGACATGTCTATTTCTTTTTTTGTGACAGTGTTGCATGGCCCCGAAGTGCACGATAGCGGCGGAACGGGAAACTGTCATGTCTTTGGTTCGTGGCCACTGGAACTCCATGCCCGCCTCGATGATTCAAGGCCTGATGGTCTTGTACTTCCCTGTTGGAAACATGTGATGTACAAGACTTCTGCCTTGCAGCTAGTGCACTTCGATGCCGCGTTATCCCTTCTTGGGAGTTTTGGGGGCGTGGGCCAACTGGATCCCAATGACGACCGTGTTGTCAGATGGTTTGGCCCTCGGCGGTGGCAGACATGCTTGATTAAGCAGTCTTGGGACAGTTGCTGTACGAAGGTAATCCCGGCTAGACCCGACTGGGCCTTCCAGCTTCAACGCCATGTTGGTTAGCAAACGTCATGGCCAAGTCTTCGACGGATGCCTTCAGGTCTTGCCGAGGCGCCTGCGCAAGTACAGGCTTGTCTTGGTCGCATGCCGCGTGGGCTCCTCCCCCGTCTGACCGGCTTGCCCCCCTCCTCTCTGCCTGCTTCCTCTAGTTCCATCTCTTGGTGCATTGCATGGTGCACGAGTGCTCGGTTTCGCATGCCCACGAGAGCGTTCATCGCATGCGGCTGTGATTCGACGCTTCACATGCCCGATTGCCCTGTGTTCGATGGCCGTAGGCTTGCCCTTTCCCTGCTCCCTTCCTCCTCCTCCAGGGCTGGTAGGGTTTCTCGTCTCTGCCTCTGGGAACCCGCCCGCCGTTCGAACGAAGCCCTGATTCCCTGTGCCTTGTACATTGGCTTTGCTTTGAGCGCTCACCACAAGTTGCGTGCGGTAAGCCCCACTCGCAGCCTGATCCTGGCCGCTGCTACCGCCAGAGGGCAACAGCTTCCTAGACGAAATGACCAGCTCAGTGTCGTAAGGGGCATAGGACCACATTTCTCAATCAGTGTTTGCACTGAAGGGGTCCTAGCAGAAATTGAAAGAGTTGGCGAAAGTGTCCCGCCGATTTTGGTGGCCGGCTGGGTTCCTGGGTTCCCAGTTCCAGGTTCCTGGTTTCTTGGTTATTGGTTCCGTGCCGATTTCGGTGGGTTGCCGGTTCCGGGGATCCCGGTCGATCTCTTTATCGATCAAACCATCCACTGATTGGGGTTGTTTTCTGGTGTAATATATGAATGCGAGGAACGTGGTGTGATTCCAAAGCGAGCGTGACCGCTCGTGCCGGCGAAGGCCAGAGCGCATCCGACATAGCGTGGCCTGGCTAACCAAGGCCTGGCAACACATGCAGCACGCCTGCGTCCACCTAGGATCGGCCGGCAAACGCAGACATGGATTTTCGCTTGCCTGTGCTGAAGTGCGTGTGTCAGAATAGACTGTGATGACGTGGTGGTGGGTGGGAACGTCCTTCTCTCTCCATGCTTGTGACTGATGGCTCGCCTCTGTCCCTCCCTCTCCAGGCGAGTCTACCCCGCTTTCTCCCCCCCCTCCATCCTGCCTCATCGTCGTCATCCTCCCCGCTTCACTCTTTCCGGCCAAGGGGTCGGGCTGGGCACCTGTTTGTGGGGGGGTTCTCGAGGTGGTGCTGGTTGACGACCACAGCCAGCTGGACGAGCTGTCCCTGCTGCCGGAGCATCTGGAACGACTCCAGAGGCCCCCCCACCTGTCGTACTCCTCCTACTCTTCGCTCTCCGATCCGCACTACACCTCGCCCTGAGAGCGGGGACGGGGAGAACGATGTGGAGGAATGGCAGAAATGAGGAGGGTCAGGAGGAAAAGGAGGAAGAGGAGGGCGAATATGAGGAGGAAGAGGGGGAGGAGGATGAGAAGACACAGGGGGATAAGAGGGCAGAAGAGGAGAGGAGCAGGAGGAGGGTGAGGAGGAGCAGGGGCACAAAGCCGAGGAGGAGGAGGAGGAAGAGGGGGAGAAGGAGCAGGTTGAGGAAGAAGAGGATAAAGAGGAGGCGGAGGAGGATGAGGAGCAGGACGAAGAGCAGGTTAATAAGGAGCAGGAGGATGAGGAGAGTAGACGAGGCTTAGGAGGAGGATAAGGAGACAGAAGGGGAGGAAGAGCAGGAAGAGGAGGAGGAGGAGAAGGAGGAGGAGGATTAGAAAGAGGAGGAGGAGGAGGGCGAGGAGGAGGAGGAGGAGGAGGAGAAGGAGGAGGAGGAGGAGGAGGATAGGGGGAGGAGCAGCAGGAGGATGAGGAGGAGGACCCTTCCACTTCCCCCAAGCCTGGGAACGCTGATGCCGGGGCTCGGGCCTGTTCCTCGTGGCCCCGACAAGGCAACTGCCCCCGGAGAAGGTCCGGCTGGTCCGCAGGAGCATCCACAACGGCATCGTTGGAGCGAGGAGCCGACCGTGCGGCGTCCTTACCTCGGGAGGTGTCGTTGGTCCTGAAGGGTCTTCTGCTTCGGGATGCGCTCCGGCAGCTGAGCCTCGCCAATTTCGTTCCGGGGATGCCCAGGCCGTCCCGAGTGGCCTCAGGAGCCCCGAGTTGTGGCCCGCAAGCCCAGGTCAGGCTCTTGGCGATCCGATGGATCCGCTCCGCTATCGACTCGGGGCGGCTCGCTCCGACTCTGCTACAATATTCTGGCGATCTTTCGCGGCCCGATGCTTGCATGACGCCGTCGTGCATCGTGGCGTAGCCAATCCGATTCGGTTTCGACCCCATGCCGACGCGACTCGATTCGACAGACACTTCGATTCGCTGCCACACGACGCGGCGTCCCAGCTCGATGCGGCTGATACTGCCATGCAGACGTCCATCTGGAACAGACAACGGCACACATGTTGTTCGTAGTGCTCGGCATTCTGGTGGGCCAGCTTCGGACTCCAGGGCCGTCGAGGAGCGGCTCGGGGCGAGAAGGCGGCCATGGGGAACGGGTCGGTACTTGTGGGTATCAGGTGTACCCGGCGTACCAAAACATGGAGAATTGTAGTGGCCGTTGGTCAGTGCCCTGGCTTGCCCATAGGCCCACCCAAGAATGTTCTAAGGACCTTGTGTGGTCTTCATACCATGTTCTTCGACCATGTCTGGCGGAGACTGCCTGGTTGAGACAGCTACATAGGGCGTAGTTTGTGAGAGCATTGATTTGTTTTTCCGAACTTTTTGTTTGTAAGAAGATTTCGTGGCTGGCCTACAGGGATACCGGGACGGTCGGTCTCTGCTCATTTCTGGGGATCGCGTTGCTGAAGGAAGCCCGGACATGGATCTCGGGGCGTCGCCGCCATCGTTTCGGAGCTGTTCGTGGCGTTCTTCCCGGGGGTTCTCTTCGCCACGGCCGGGCGCAGCCGAGAGCCTCGGACCCCGGGAGCGCCGGGCAGGGCTTGGGCGGATCGCCCGGGCGCGCGGCCGGCTCGCGCCGCGGCGACGCGGGGAGGGGGGGGCCCTGGGGCCGGCGGCCAGGGTCGAGCGCCGCCGGAGGCCTGCGAGCCGGCCGACGCGGAACGATCGATGATCCTCCGGACGTGTGTTAGCCTTGAGTCGGGCCTGTCCCTGTATACAGGGGAAAGATTCTGAAATAGTTTAAAATAGTCTGGGGATTATTTTTTACCATGTTTAAGCATTTTTATTGTATTTTGTTTTTTTATTTTCCGTTCAAAATCGGCCTGCAGGGGGACAGGCCCGACTTAATGTTAGCCCGATGTTCGTACACCACCTTGCAGCCCAACCAGTAGATCATTACATCGCCTGCGTCGTATCGAAGGGCCTCAAATGGACAACACGCACGTTGGGGCCGAGGCACGTTCTGAGGAGCATCGAAACGAGCAGCTCACTCTGCATGCCGCGATCGGGCAAGGCGGAGCGAGGCACGCGGTGTCAGAAATCCGGCGCCCACGCCGTCGCGGCACGAGCCTGCAGCGGGGGTGTCGGCCCCGGAGAGGCGCGTCCCGAGGGCCTCCCGCGGGGCCCTCTTCCCAGGCACCGGGGGGGCGTCCGAAGACGGCTCGGGACGGAAGGCGGGCGCCAGGGGCAGCCCCGAGGTCGAGGGCCCGCCTCGTTGACTGAGATCGGCGGCGGGCGCGGGGGGAAGCAAAAAGGAAAAGAGGCCTTCTCAGAAGGCGGCCGGGCATCCCAGAGGCCCTCCGGCCTCCTGAGCAGTTGGCTGTGTTTTCGGGGAAGGCTTATGCGCTTATGCGTGGAGGCTCAGAGAATCTCTCAGAAGGCCGGGGGACTTGCGAGCCTTCTGAGGAGGCCCGCTTCTTCTCACCTCCTCCATGGGGACGCCGGGGCTGAACAAACTGACGCTTTCAGTTTGTGAGGACCCTTGCCTTTTAGTAAATGTCTTTCGGATTTGGCTTTCATCATGACTTCGAGCTTTGTGAAAGCCATGAATAATGTTCTAGCACCGTTTCGAGACTTGGTCGCGCCGCTCTTACATTATTACATGCTTCTCTCGAGGAACGCCGGCGCCAAAGAGGCCAGGTACCCCATCCTGGTCATATTGGACTCCCACGCGCAGGTCGAGGGCTGACCTCCCGCTGCAGTGGATAGCCTCTCCCCCGTTGTCATGTCCCCTGGCCTCTGGTCCCCTCCCATTTCTTTGCTGCAAGATTGGTGGGAACAGGAAGGGACAATGGGGCAGGAGGAGGATGGGGATGCTGATGATGATGATGACGATGATGCTGCTGCTGCTGCTGCTGATGATGATGATGATGATGATGATGATGATGATGATGATGATGATGATGATGATGATGATGATGATGATGATGATGATGGCCGTGTCTTGCACCTCTCATCTCAGGTGTAACCGAGGGCCGTCGTGGTCGCGCCGATGCGCCGCAACCGCGTCGGCTCACGCCTTTTTCTGGAGGGTGAGGCCCTCGCCTGGATGCGCCTCAGTGGCACCGGGCTCGGCCTCCCGCTCGCGAGCAACGGTATCCTGCTGCTCCTGGCTTGCTGGTGGCTGCTGCCGTTGGCGCCTGCGGCCCCCGAGGCGCCCGCGGCGCCTCCGCAAGTGTCCGCCCCGCTCCCGCTGTTCGAGGCGGGCCCGTTCTCGGCGCCGGGTGAGGCCGCCGGGGTCCAGGTGCCGGTGGCTGACTGCCTGGCGGCCGCCTTGGACGCGAGGGAGGCGGGCCGCGCCTTTCCCTCGTTTTGCCCGCCTTGCCCGTCGTGCGAGGCAGGGAGCGGGCAGCGTGCCCCCCCAGCCTGGGAGGCGGCGCTCTGCGGCCTGCTCCTCCTGGCCTCCGAGCTCGTGCGCTGGGGGCTCTCGCTGGTCTCCGCGGCGGCCCGCTGCTCGTGCCGGGGCCGCGCCGCGCGGCCCGCCCTCGGGGGCGACCCCTGCTCGACCGCGCAGCAGGCTGTGTGGGTCGAGTCACCTGGTCGTCGCGCTCGTCGAGTTGGTGGCTTGGGCCGCTTTTCATGATCTCAGTTGGCGATGAGATGTGTGTGTGTGTGTGTGTGCACAGGGTGGAATACGACGAGCCGCCGCCCCGCCTGGCGCACAAGCGTATTGTCGTGGGTGTCTCGTCTCGGGTGCTGGATCACCACGCGGTGCTCACTCCAGACTTCGACGTCTACATCGAGGAGTGCGACGCCGCGAACACGGACATCCGCAACTGGTGGAGGGAGTGGGGCCCCGGCGTTGCGCCACGCGGCGGCGTCATCCCAGCGGGGATCCGACGGTGTGACTTCGCCGCGAGGCCTACGCTCTGGGTGCCGCGCGGCTCGTGGAACGGGACCAGGCCGCTGGCGGCAATTGGGCCTGCTGCTGCCGCTGCTCCTGGCCCTGGTGGAGGCGGTGGGGCGCTCGCAGTGGTCCCAGCTGGTGGCGGCGCAGGGCCGTTGGGAGTGGGAGGCGGCCTCGCCGCAGGTGCTCCCGCCGCTGCGCCTGGAGCCGCTGCCGTGGCGCCCGCTCCCGCCGTCCCCGCAGGCGGTGCGCCTGCGCCCGCCGCTGCTGGCGGGTTTGCCGGGCTTGCTGCGCAGGCGGGTGGAACTCCTGGTGCTGGACCTGACGGCGCGCCCCCCGCGGCCGTCCCAGCCCCGCCCCGTGCTGGAGGTGTCGGCGCTGGCGACCTCCGCGCGCTCGCCACCGCGCACGACGGACAACGGCAGCGGCACAGGGAGTATCGGGGCAGTGTGCAGTTCATGCGTCCTACGTCTTTCCCCGTCTGGCCAATGCCAGGACCATGCACTCACCATTTGGTCGCGACTTACCAGGTGGAGAACGGTGGATGGCCCATGGGGCACCATCTCGCCAGGAAGGCTGCTCTCGGCCCGGCGGTGCCGCCAGACGACCTGATCGTGTCGATGCACCGCGGGTTCTCGAAGACGATGCAAGTGGCTCAGTCATATGACCAAGTTGGCGGCTCGAATCTTGCCTCGATGGAGCTCGTGGCCAGGCGGCGCCAGCTTTGCGAGGAAAGGTACAAGGACAAGCTGGTCTGCTCGCGAGCTCTCGGCAGTGGAGGCGACGAGCAGTTCTCCTTTACGGGGGCGCAGTCTACTCGCGGGCTCATGGTCGAGCCTGCCGTGGCCGAGTGGATCTCCAAGCAGCTGGCTGCCGAATCGGCCATCGCGAAGGAGCGCCGCAAGGCGCGCGAGGAGCGGCAGCTGCTCCACCAGCCCACTGGCGGCCGCGGCGGTGGACAGGGCGGCGGCGCGGGCAAGGATGGTAAGTCATAGCCCGCGTCGCTAACGGTGCTCGCAGCGGCCGCCAGGACCTTGGCCATCCTGGAGGGCCCCCCTCTGGCCCTTCGCACTTGACGTCGTGGTTCCCTCGTCATGGCCGTCAGTCGTCAGCGAAACGCTCTCTCTCTCTCTCTCTCTCTCTCTCTCTCTCTCTCTTTTTTTTCTCTCTCTCTCTCTCTCTCTCTCTCTCTCTCTCTCTCTCCCTCTCTCCCGCTTCTTCTCCATGGCGATCCCCGCCGCGCTGCTGGCGGCGCCGCCGCGCGGGTTCGCATGGACTGGGCCAACGACGGCATCAAGGCGCTCAACTGGCATGGGGGGGACGCTCGCCTCCGACTCAGAAGCGACCGACGGTTTTGCAGCAGCGATCGCTCGACTACACCGCTGCTCAGCATGTCATGTTCGGCGGCCCGCCCCCTGACATCTCCCGCGTGCACGCTCTCTCCGACATCTGCTTCAGTTGCCCACTCTATGCCGCTGGGCGTGGCGACGTGGTCTCCTTCGGCGAGGACCTGGTGTCCTGGCCTCCTGGCGGCTCTGCGCCTGTGGCGCTTCATGACGCACTGCTGGAGGCTGACCGTTTATGACTGCAGAACTGGAAGGCCCACGTGCCCACGTGCTTCGCCCACCGGCTGAGGCAGCGGCGCTTCGGCGAGAGCGCGGACTTGCCCAACCCCACGTCGACCCCAATCTACGACATCCTGCTACGTGCGGGGAGTTCATTGGGGAGCTCCTGGGCAGGGGCATGCTGCGCCTCTCTCCTGCCCGCGGTCGGCGCGGGCTCCTGGGAGTCTTCGTGGTCGCCGAGAAGTCAGGCCCGCAGCGGCTCATCTTCGACGCGCGCGTCTGCTATACACGGTTCAAACCACCTCCCTGCGCCGAGCTGCCCAGCGGCAGCGCGTTCGCCCGCGCGGAGACGCAGGGCAGCGGCGATTCCTGGTTCAGCAGCGGCGATATCTCGAACGCCTTCTACACTATGCCGGTCACCGAGGACCTCTGCGAGTTCTTCTCTCTGCCGCTTGTTCGCGCCGGGCTTGTTGGTGTGTCTCAGCTGGGCGGCGTCGCGACCAGCGCTCCGAGTTGGTTACTCCCTGAGCTCGCGATCCCCCCCATAGGCTGGTCCTGGTCTCTGCGCGTGTGCAAGTGCGCCCCGGAGGCCGCGCTCTCCTGGGCGCGCATCGCCCCCGCGCAGCAGGTGCGAGACCGCAGCCGGGGCGTCGTCCTGGGGCCCAAGCCCCCTGCCGCTGGAGCCACCTACGCAGGCAACTACCTGGTGGCAGGGTCGCAGCGCCCCAAGACGCAGGCCGCGGCCAGCAAGGTCGAGCGCGAGCTGTCCTCCCTCGGCTATGTCGTCCACGATCAGGTCGAGGCCACGAGGGCGACTAGCTTCGCTGGGCTCGAGCTCGATGGGCATCGCGACTCAGCGCGAATCTCTGCACGGCGTGCCTGGCGATCCCGACATGCGATCGAGAAGTTCCTCCGCCGCCCGAAGGTCCGCGGGCCCTTCCTGGAGACGGTCGTCGGCCACTGGGTCATGCTGCTCAAGAGGTGCTCCTTGGCGATCTTCGGCGCTGCGTGCGCCTTCATCCTGGCCTCGCCGCCGAGGGGCTGCCGCTTTGGCCCTCGGCGCGGCGCGAACTGTGGCAGGTGCGTTCGCCATTGCCCTTCTTCGTCGTCTTCGCCAATGCGGACTGGCACGACGAGATCGCGGCCAGCGATGCGTCGGGCCGGGGCCGCGGGGTGCGCCGCCGCCGCTACTGCCGCGAGGCGGCGGCCGAGGTCGGGCGCACCGCGGGGAGATGACAGTGCATCTTCGAGGAGTCGGCCCGCGCCCGCGAGCACGCCTTGGGGGGTGCTGACGCTGCTGCGCGACCCCGGGAGGCCGCCGTCGGACGAGGCGAAGGACTGGGACAAGTCGTTCGGCGAGGTCGACCCCGCCCCCTTCACCCGGGAGGGCTTGGCAATCGCGCGCGCCTTCCCCGGAACGGACTCCTTCGCCATCTGCCGCGCCGAGGGGCTCGCCGTCGCGCCCGCCCTGCGCCCCCAGCTCAGGGCCGCCGACGCCTTCGGGAAGAGGATCGCGTGCCTCGTCGACAACATGTCGCTCGCACTCGCGATCGGCAATGGCCGTTGCTCTCCACCGCAGCAGCGCGGCCTTGCCTACATCAGGGGGGTTGATGGCGAGGTGGCTGATGCCCTGGGCGATCGCCCCCGCGTTCGACGCGGCGTCGGCGGGGAAGCGAGGCCGAGCGGCCAGGCCCCTGATGCCGACGGGGCGGGCACCTCAGCTCCTGCCCGCCCCCCTGGCTGCTGGAGAGGGCATCCTGACCGCTCCTGTCCCGCAGTCGGCGGCCGCCCGCCAGCGGGGGCCCCTGCTGGGAAGCCTCCTGATTGGCTTCGCCTGCCTCGGGCAGCTGGCCGACTACCAGAGAAGGGCCGGCGCCTTCATCGGATGGTGCTCGCAGCCCCACCCAGACTGGGACAACTGGGAGCAGCTGGACACGACCATGGCGACTTACTTTGACCACCTGTACTTCCTGGCCGCGCTGAAGTTCTTTCTGCCGCCGATCGGCCGCCGTGGAGACCAGACGTTGCGCCGCGCCTTCCGCAGCCTTGCGAAGCGGGGGAAGTGCGCCCCCCGCAGGATGCGCGCGCCGCTACCTTGGTCGCTGGCGGCCGCGCTGCCAGGCGCGATGCTCCACCGTGGCCAGGTCCGGCAGACGATCGCGATGATCATGAGCTTCGCCAGCCACCTCCGGCCGCCCGAGTGCGACCCGCTGACGGCCACGCAGGTCGCCCCCCCGTCGCGGCGGGCTCCGAGGGCTCGTGGCTCGCCGCCCTGCTGATCTATCCAGGCGAGCTGGGCCGACCGGGGAGGACGAGCCTCTGGGACATCACAGTGGTGATCGACACCTTCGCGTTCCTCGCCCCAGCTCTCCTCGGGCTGAAACGGCGAGCTCCGTCGGGGAGGTCACGGCTCTGGCCCTTCCCTCCCGCCTCGCTCGGCCGGAGCATGAGTGGAGCGGCCTGCGCTCTTGGGCCGAGTGCCTTCCCCGTCCTCGCCTGCAAGCTGCGACGCGGGGGAGCGTCATACGACCTCCGGTCGACGAGGCGGGCCGCCCTCGACGTCCAGCAGCGCGGAGGGTGGGCCCCCGACAAGAGCTTCAGGCGCTGCGCGAAGCAGGCTCGGATCATCACCGAGCTCCAGCGCGTGGGCCCGCAGGTGGTCGCCTTCGGCCAGGTCGTGGACGCCGCGCTGCCTCGCGTCTTCACGCACGGGACGCCACTGCCCGCGCCGTGCCTGACCTCGAGCGGGCGGTAGAGCTCGCTGGACCCATCGAGTGGGGCCCGTCGGCCACTTCCAGTCGTCGGCACCTCCTCAGTGAACTTCATGACAGATTCAGACGTCAGAAGGGTTCCCCTCGAACCGCCGCCCTGAAGCTGTTCGCCGGGACGGGCCGCCTGTCGACGGCGCTGCGGCGCCGAGGCATCGCCGCGTTGCCGATGGATTTCGCTTCTAAGCGTTGGTTCGATCTCGAGCATCCTACCGTCCGTCGGACCCTCCGTCGATGGGTGCGGGTCGGCGTGGCCTCAGCTGTCCGGGTAGCCCTGCCGTGCAGCTCCTGGAGCCAGGCCCGCCACGGACCGCCGGGGTTGGGGGCTGCCCGATCTGGGTGCCAGGCCGCAGGTGGCCGTCGACCTTGGGAACCAGCAGCTCAGGTTCGTCCTTGGCCTCATCGCTCTCTGCCGCTCGCTTGGAGTCCTAATCAACCTCTCGAACCCGGGGTGCTCGTGGGTTTGGTCTACACCGGCGCTGCAGGCCCTGCTCGGGGCCCAGGACGCCAAGTCGTTCAACCTTGACATGTGTGCGTTTGGGGCCCGTTGGAGGAAGCACACCCGCGTGGGCTGCTGGGCTCTTCACCACCCTGAGGTTTCCGTGAAGCCCCGCAGCAGTTGTAGAGAAGGTTTTTTTCCAGGAAGGCCCCACATAGTCCTCTCTATCCTCGACCCCGTTTCTGGTATCTTTTGGACTCGCCTCGCCGAGCCGTATCCCGTTAAGTTTTGCAGCTGCTTCTCTGGTCTAATTGCGAGGTATACGGGGAATCAGGGCTTCGAACGCATGGTGACCTTAGCTTGTCCGATCTCTGCAGGATACTCTACTCCTGCTCACGTTTTGCAGTTTAAGTTTCTGTCTTATCGGCGCCGTTTTTCGTCGCCACTCCTCCTCTCGGGCTCGGGTTTCCTCCTCGGTGTTGCGTGGGTGCGTTGGGTCCTCCTCCTTCCTCTCTCTTCTGTGGGTCTCGCTCGCTCGCCGGTGCGCCCTTCGGTGGAATCGCCCAGGACGCCCGCCACACAGAAATGTTGGGGTGGCCTGAGGTGTAGCTGGAGATGGCCGTGTCTTGCACCTCTCATTTCAGGTGTAACCGAGGGCCGTCGGTGTCGCGCCGATGAGCCGCAGCCGCGTCGGCTCGAGTCTTTTTTCTAGCCCGCCCTCCTCTCCGTCTTCTCTTTCCTCCTTGGTGTTGTGTGGGTGCGCTGGGTCCTCCTCATTCCTCTTCTGTCCTCTGTGCGTCTCGCTCGCTCGCTCGCCGGTGCGCCCTTCGGTGGAATCGCCCAGGACGCCCGCCACACAGAAATGTTGAGGTGGCCTCGGGTGTAGCTGGAGATGATGATGAAGAGGAGGAGGAGGATGCGAAGGTGGAGTGGTAAAGCGAAGGGCAGGCTAATGAGTAGGAGTCTGGTGAGGGGGCGGAGAGGGACGACTGGACTGTCGCTTCGGGGGGTGTTAATGATTTGCCCAGGCGGCTTGGGCTGAGAGGGCCAGCGACCTTCTGGGGTAGCCGATGTCCCGCCCAGTCCACGAAAACCCCCGCATGGGCACGGGACCTTTTTCTGGCGGAGGCCAGCGGAAGGTAGAAGGTGGGTGCGGAGCAGGGGCGGACTGCTGCGGAAGCAGGAAGTAAGACGATGTGAACCACCACTATCACGGGTAGGACAGGGCAGAAAGGA